TGATGCCCCAAAGACAGCTTTTGTGCACTTTGTTTTTTATCATTTTTAAAAATAACCAAATACTGCACTTTATCCATGATACTCTGTACTCTTACTAATTCTCCTGTTCCATACAGAATACTCCTACCACCATGCTTAATAGTAGGAAGGGTATCTTTTGGTTTGTGAGCGTCATTCACTTTCCTCCATACACAATGGGAGTTCATGAGACCAAATAATTCTAGTTTCATCTGACCATAAAACAGAGTTCCAATATTTAATCCCATGTTCTAGATGGCTTCTAGCATAAGCTAATCTGCATTTTAGGTATTTAGCCTTAAGCAAGGGAGTTTTCCTTGGGCAACAAGCTTCAAGTTCTGCTCAATGAAAGCATCTAGTGACTGTCTTTATTGATACATTCAACAACCCTGATGTCTTTATATCCTTGACAATGTCCTTTATCATTAAGTGAGAATTCTTTAAGACATCTCTAACAATTTTCCTTTCCATTCTCTCAGAAATTAACCGTTTTCTACCAGTCTTTATTTATTCTCAACACAATGAGTCTTGATGTACTTCTTGATAATGTAACAAATTGTCGATCTAGAAACGTTTAAATGCTTGCAAAGTGTTGTATATCCATCAGCTTGTTTTTATGCATCAACTATCTTAATTTGGTGTTTCTTGACAAGTTCAGCCATCTTCAGCATGGTTGCAGAATGAATGAGTTATTGTGGTATGTGGCACTCACATCAGTACCTTTTAGAATGGTATAGAATGTCAAATTAAGAAAAAAAAACATTATAATTGTCATAGAGCAATATTATTTCATTATTTCCCTAAATGTGGGGGGGGGTGGATAATTTTGGACTGAACCAATTTTTAGAAAAATCTATAACTATGAATTTAATAGATAGAAACTTCTAAAAATTTCACAAATTATTCAATACTAGATACAGAATCAACTATTTATGGTTAATTCAGTAAGTACTTGGAAATATTTGCATTTCCTTAGAAAATATGCAAATATTCAGTGAAGGTGAATAATTCTGTCCATAACTCTGTATCTGCATATATATATATATATATATATATACACACACACACACACACACACACACACACACAGAGTCTTGTACAGGGTGGTCCAAAAGTCTTGTCACAAACAACCCCTACCACCACCAAAAAGTAATGAGAAGAACAATTAATAGAGTAATACAAAGCACATGTACTGGATTCAGTTTATTCACTTTCATTGTCACTGTCAAACATCAATAAGGTCTGTTTGAATGTCATCATTTTTGTGTAGAATCTTGTATGAGACATCTGAAATAGAAAATTATACTATGAACAGGTAACAAGACTTTCAGACCACTCTGTATATTTATGAATGAAACTTTTTTTATATATATCTAAAAATTCCATAAAATTAAACATACTATAAAATATTTGTTTAAGCAATTTTATATGTTTTGGGGGTTAACTTTCTTTTGTCAGTTGTTTTGTTATTAAATTTCCTTTAGTTATTATATTTGATTCTGACATGAAAAATGCTTCTAATGATTTTTATTTGTTTTTAAATTTGTTTTTATTTCTTTTTGCATGTGCCTTGTTGTCACCATACTTTTTTCAGCTCTTTGAATCCTGGCACCTGCATCAACATCCCCACTCAGTGCTTGTCCTTTTTCCCCCCCACTATATCAGCATGATGCCCACCAAGCTAATTTCTTGTGCTTGCCACATACCAAAATCGTTTCTACTTGCAATGAATGTTATGCCTTCAAAATAGTCTTTTGGAGGGAATTTTGTTTGATTTTTGTTTGTTTTTTTTCATGCTTGTTTTTTGTTGTTTCTTCATTTCTTATAAATTATTATTTTTGACAAAATTGTATTTTTATATGTAATCAGTTTTCATTTTCTTTGTAATTTTTTAAAGATATAGTTTGACATATTTATAGGTAACACTTTATAGACCATTAACATTTAATAATAGTCAATCAGGAATAATTTAGATTAAAACTATGACAAAATTCCAGCAAGTTTTGAATCAAAACAATTGATATTTAAGTACATATAACTAGCAGGGATTTTTTTTCTCTGATGATGGCCATGCAGGCTGAAACAAAACTAGTCAAGGAACCTAATTCAAATAATAAAACAAAAAAATACTAATATACAACCCAGTGTGTTTGAAAATTTTAATTTTTTAATATTTTCTATTGTTCAAAACATATATATATATTGTTTTGCTTAAACATTATTTTAGATGGATACTCTGTTTATTTAATTAAACAGTGTTTTTTTATTTTAATTACATTTACCCCCCACCCTGGATATTTGATAAATCCTGTCAGAAAATATATGCATATATCAGATACTACTTAAAATATATCTGTAAAAGGACAGTATGCATAAAGACACAAAAGAAAACTTAGCTGAATAGCATTTCATCCTCGGATGGACCTTATCAAAACAAATGTAAGGTATTTATTTTGCAACAAGTATTTATAAACAGGAAAATAAAAATGTTATTTTTTCAGAATTTTTAAATTTAGTAAAGGCTTATAAATATTTATCATGTTAACTGAAAGTCAAGGTAAATTATGGAAGATGCTAAGTGATATAATTTAATGTCTAATAAATGAAAGTGAGTAAATTTTGTTGATTTTTTTATAATACTATAAATAATAATTACATTATAAAAAAAAGATAAGTTTTCATTTTGTTTACACACACACACACACACACACACACACACACACACACACATCTTTTTTTTTCTACTACTCATTTCGTAAAACTCTCCACACCATACCAACTCACCTCCCCTTAAACAGTGTCAGTGGTCACACTCTGACTCAGTACTCTTCACTTCACATATCAGAAATTTAATTTTCAGATGATCACAACGATTTTTTGTCTTTCAAAATAATGAACAATACCCTAATTATGACATTGTGCTATGTCGAAAGTACTCGGAAATAAACGAAATATGTATCAACAGGGCGATTTTCTCTCATCTTTCAATAATAATACCAAAAAGCTTATCTGTGAATATGAAGGAATCCTATTGAAAATAAGTAGACAGAATGTCTAAATTATTCAACAAAACATCTCTCTCTATATATATATATATATATTGCTACTTAAACTATCAGTGATTTCAAACTTTAATTTCTCTTTCAAAATACTCCATTGCTGGCTAATTGCATCCAAGCTTACAATGAGTATAAATAAAAGTCCATATTATAAATAAAATCTTAAAAACTATTAAGTGGATAATTTAGTTGTTGCACAAATTTATATCATTTTTATTTGAATAAGGAATGATAAATAATTACCTTCTATATATATAATATATCAATATATACTTTTTTTAATATTTCTGTTTTTAAAGTTATAACAACATTTTAAATAGCATCTAATCCATTTCCAAATCTATTTAATTATTGTATTTTTATAAAATAACATACCATCATTAATTTTTCAAGAAATTGAAAAAGAGAAAATATTTGTTTAGAAATATATTTCTGCAGTTTAACTAAAACTTTCTGATAACTAATTTGTGTTCTGTGGAAGGAAAAAATCAAGAAAAGTTCACTGATACTGACTTATAACATGTCTACAATCATCACAGAACCTAAATAGGAAAATATATTTGTAAATAGAGAAAGTATCATATGTATAACGAAATTCAAGTCATAGTGAAACAGAAAAAAATAAAATAAATTCTTGTTTTAATCAGTTGGATGTTTTTCAGGAAAATAAACTTTGAGAAAAATAAATTTATAACTAAATATCTTTCTTCTCATCAGCAACTTAAAATTTTTATAACAAATAATTTTCAGATAGAGCATTAGACAAAGATAGTTACCAATTAAAAAAAATGTTAAAAACTTCAAAAACATACAACAAAATTCAAGATCCATCTGAAAACATTTAGAATGAGATGTTATATAGGAGTCAAGGTCATAAAATTTTATTCATTCATCAATTGATAATATAAATATAAGAATCCCTCATATATGCTGACGTTTTTTCAGTATTCATGATGATCAGTACATTCAGGTGTTTGCAAAATCAATATTAATATATTTACAAACTTTAAGTACCAATAATGAATCATCCTAAAATTTAAAATTGACTGAAACATTCTTTTCAGAAAAATAGAAGTTAACTTATTTTTAACCCTTTGATCCCTGTGTTCCTGAACAATTTGAACCTTTCTGCCTGAGCTCCTGAGTCAAAATTCGCAAATAATTGGTATATAATGATTCATGGTAGATATAAAGATAGTTACAATGTTTATCCACCATTCAACCAGTGGCTGGGCATTACGTAATTTTTCTCTACCACTGGTGGTCAGGGCTTAAAGGGTTAATAATAAAATCTTTTTGTAGTACTATTTTTATTAACTATAATAAAAGTTTTTAGCTTTTTGTTTTTAACAAATAAATTTTATTTACATTTTGATCAGTAATTATTACCAGTGTTTAACTTGAATGTGCAATTTAATAATAAAAATGTACCATTTTGTGCAGCTTTCAGCTTGTGCTAAAACTATTAATTAGCAATAAAGAAATTAATTTTTAAGAAAACGAAATAATCCTAATGAAGAAAAAAATGAATCTTAGTTGTTTTCTCTTGAACAAAATATAATTGGAAATTGGACATCATATTCTAATAAAGTTTGTTTCCAATAATTCCATAAGGCAATGAAATTATTTTATGAGAGTTACACTTTAACATTTATTATATGATTGTATAAAACACAAAAGCCTGTTCAAGATTTTAGAAAACAAAATACAGTTTAAATTAGTCTACATTTCATTGGAACAAATTTTGTATACAAGTTTTAAAATTCATCTTTTTTCCTTTTCTTTGATTTTCTTAAGATAGTTTTTGTTTGAGTTTGCTTTTAATTTATTTTTTGTCTGTTTTATTTCCTAGGGGACATAACTGTGATAGACAAATTAAGCAGAGAACCACAAAAAGAAGTATATAATCTTCAAGTGCTGGCAATGGATTTTGGCTACCCTTCTTTGTCATCAAACACAACCGTCAAGATAATTGTTCCAGTCAACAAGCCAGTTACTGTAGCTCCTACCAATGCCTTCCATGTTTCTGAGGGGGTTAGTATTGGCACCCAAGTTGGCACTGTGAATGCCTCAGATCCAGATATGACACAAGACAATGAAAACTCTCTTACCTATATTCTCACTGATACAACAGGTAGGAATAGAATTTGGAACAAACAAATAAAGCTGTTTTCTTAAAACTACATTTACCTGTAACCACAAATCATGACAAAAAGAAAATAATTTTGCTTTTATATTGGTTTATATTGGTAATAATTTTTGAATGAGTAATTTAGGATTTTTATCTATAGAACTAAACCTATTATAATATTTAGAAATAAATTCTGCTTTTTAAATTATTAAAAGGAAAATATCTTAAAGCTAATACATGGCAAAAGAAATAAAATCAATGTGTTCATAATTTGTCCTCACTACTTGAATTGAAGTTTTCTAGAGTTGCAGGTTGCTTTTTTTTATTCAAAGATTTGTTTTCAACACTTTCTGGTTGTGCATTTAATAATGCATTCCATACATACATACATACATGCATACATAATGGGAGAATTATGGAAAAAAAATTTATTCACCCATTTGTATTTCCCCAGTTATGGACATTATTATATCCATGATATAATAACACTAGTTAATGGATAGAACAAAATGGCTGAAAGGAAAAGGAATGACAAACATTCTTTGTTCCCAGAGAGATGTTTAAACTATTAAGACATACACAAAACTATATCTACAAGTGTCCCACATGAAAAATAATATATCATATATCTACACAACAAAGCAGAGTGTAACGAGAAACAAAAAGAAAGGGTTTTATATATAATATGGAGATACTCCTGTGTCTGGAGAAGCCATGTTTAGGACTCCAAGCAAGGACATATTTTACAAATGGGAAACAGCAAGTTCTTAATTTTCCTAAATTGAGGACTGCAAGCTGGAGTTTCTTTCTATATCTGGGAAAGATATATTCCCAAAGAGAAATGGTACCAAGTGCTTGTAAAGCTGCCAGGGAAGGCAAATTTAGTCTCACACAGCAAAAGCAACTGCTCGGTTTAGCTGCTGTAAACAAACTGAATGAGTAGCCACTCTTGTCACTGTATGAAGTGATGTCACTAAGCAGCTATCATGTGATCTATGTGACTTATATTTTGTATCCCTACACAGATATATTTTAATTGTATCTGAAATTTTGCACTCACGCACACACACTCTATCTGCTCATCATTCTTCTAATTGCATGCTGTTCTGTTTCATGACCTGAACAATTTATGTTTTATCTATACATAAGTGTTTATTCTTTTTTTAAATAATGAATTTTGTAATAAAGAATAATAGTGATAAATTTAATTTGGTGTTGGGACACAGTGTGAGATGGATAAATTGTCATCTAAATTATGCAAAAATGAAAATAACACTGATATCTCATTTTAACAGATATATTTACCAAAATTTCACAAAAATATCTTGAAATACTGAAAAGTAAATTTATTCAATAAAATTGCCATTGGCTTCAACCATGGCTTCCAGATAACTCCAGAATCTCCTGCAATTCTTCTGGACAATCCCCTTGTATAAATTGGTGAATGCTGTCATAATCCTTGTCTTCAGTTCATCTTTGGTGTTACAAGGAGTTTGTTGGTCTCTCATTTAACTGAGCCCCACACATAATAATCAAGGGGGTTGCAGTCTGGGGAGTTTAGTGGCCAAATGTAAGGGATGATGTGGTCACAAAAATTATCTGACAGCCATGACTTAATTCTCTTGCTTGTGTGGCATAGTGCAGAGTCCTTTTGCTAGACACAGGATCTTCCTGCAGCCACCCTCTTGACCCAGGGCAGCACTAATGGTGACATAATGTTGCCATCACTAGTGATCACTCCAAACACCTTTGTCATCACCATTAGTTTCATTCAACTCTTTCTGAATCCTCTGCACTCTCCTCAGATTGACATTCAAGCACTCTGAAATGTTTGTATTGGATATTCCAGCATGCATGCCAATCAGTACAGCATGCTGTTTCCAAATTTCTGGCCGAGTGAATTGTGTCATGGTGCTCTTTTTCTCGCAGACAGTGCTCAATTGACCCTACTATACTGTGCAGTTGACAAAATCAAACACAAACAAGGCATATGTGCGAAATTAAAAATATACAATGACAACAATTTACCCATTGCACACTGTGTATTTATTTGTTGGTGAGTGACTTTTCTGTTTTGTTCTCATTTCTGCTGATTCAAACTTCATAATATGCATGAATCAATCTCATTGAACATTTTTTGTTAATTTATTTTTAGTACCATTCAGAATTGGAAACAAGACTGGAATTATTGAAACAGCTGGAGAACTGGATGCAGAAACAGCTTCCACCTACCAATTTGGGGTGCATATTTTGGACAGTGACCTCCCACCAACCACAGCCACAACCACTGTTACCATTGTTGTGGAAGACATCAATGATAATCCTCCACAATTGTCTTCCAAAGTTTACAGAACTAAAGTCAGTGAAGGTCAAGCAAATGGAAGGCCATTGGTTCTGAATTTGGTAAGTGAATTTAAATGCCTTAAGTTACAGCCTCCTCCTTTGGGTCTTAAATGTGTTGTAATGTCTGAAAGTTGATGGATTCAAAAGAGAATTGTCTTCCATCAGAAATCACTTTCATCTGTAGTGAGTCCTGTTAAAAATTAAAATGTAAAAATAAAATATATATAAACAAAAATAAAAAAATTCAAATTAAGATAAGGCATTTGTGCTTTCCTTTAAAACCCTTATCTCTTTCTTTCTCTCTTTCTCTAAACTTCTCTTTCTATATTTCTCTCAACCTACAAAAAGGAAACCCTCAAAAAAAAAATGAAAGAAGAAAATCCTGAACCCAGACAAAAACATCAGAAGTTTGCAGGAGCAGAATTGACTTATTTGTGACTAAAAAATACTGAAAGGGTTCATGCATAAGTTCTGTTTAAAAAAAATAAAAATGAAATGAATGCATAGAAAATAAAATAATTTGGCCAATCAAAAAAATTGACACAAAGAGACTTTTTAATGTTAGCCAAAACCAAAGTTCCCACCACAAACTCTGAGTCTATTCGAAAGAATATAAACCAACCAGTATGACTGCATAAGTGGATGGAACGAAAGAAGGCAGCCATGCGTGACACATGAAGAAGCAATTGAGAGGTCATCTACTACTGACATTTCTGCCATGAACACAGTAGATTGAGAACTGACCTAATTTCTGATATTACTACTACTCCTATCATGGTCTGACTTCAAAACAACCACAAATGCACATTTCTCCAGACCGCAATCAATATCCACCTTATTAACATACATTTCGCTACGCCAAATGCCAAAGGACTCACCCTTCACTCTAAAGAAAATGAATAAAAAATGTATTATTTATGTTAATCCTTGAGTCAGCTCATTTTATTCTCAAAGTTTTCAATAAAATAATTATCTTATCACCTATCTACACATCCATAAATTATTTGCATAAAACAATATTTCTTTCAATCTAGTGTAAATATTTTCCATTAACATCCAACATTTACATTATTCAATCTATAGGTACACAATTTTTATCCAACATGCTTAAGACTAGACACTTCTCAAATTTTGGATGCTCCGAACTATGACTAATTAGCAGAGTAGACTGGGCTCACAAGCCTTGATTTGTAACTAAAATATAACTTTGAATTACAAACTATGAAGAAAGCAATGAGAAAACACTCCTTTCTCAAAAAGACATAGAAATTCACAAATAAAGAAAAAGGAATCTTTGGAGAGTCATTATTGTCTATCCTGAAAGGACATATTTTTTTTTTTTTTTTTAATGCAGGTACTATATATAGAGTAGTAGAGTAGACAAGTCAATTGTTACCAGCAGGTGTGTACTGATAGAGAAATAATAAGATCAAAATTTCATCATCTCTAAAAATAAATGGATAATTGGAATTGCCAGGTCACAAATGCCATATTTTGACCAACCAATCAGAAAGCTTTCATAACCAGGATATGAGGCTGTGATAGCAGCCTTTTTTAAACTAATATCTAGATGTTTATATAATCAGATGGAAAATCAACCAACACTTGATAAATTTTGTTCATTCTCCAATGCTGCAGTCATCATAACATAACCAGAGCTGAAATGTTATATTTTCACAACCATCTGGCGATTTGAGAAAGCTAAATCATCTTGTTACAACAAAACATTCACTCTTGTATTCTCCATCTTTTTAGCAGTCCGCTGATACACATGAAAACAAACATACAGTTGTGGCTTTGTAGAGGCCAGAAATAAAGAAACAAAGAGAGGAATTGAGTTAAACAAATGTATTAACAGAAACAGTTAATACAAACATATACAAACGAGTGTTACAGCAAAACTGTTCAGTCCAACTGTCAGAGCTGACTGCTGGAAACTTACCTCTCCAAAAGGCGGTACCTGCTCCTAATTATAGCTGGGAGAATCCATGCATGTGTGGGTAAATTACCATAACACATATTAAGCAAATGAATACTACATTTGTATACATACATATATTTTACATTACATTTTCTCCTTCATTCTCTTCTCCCATGTGTCCATGAAACATAACCTCCACAGGTGAATCTACAGCTCTTTAACATTTTCAGTTTTCAAAATCAAAAGATAAACAAAGTATCAATGTGCAACAAAGATATGCCTGACAAATAGTAACACCCAACTGCATGGCATAGGTTGAGACAAGACCATCTTTACTGTGCTTGATTAAACTTTAAAAAGTGCAGCAGTAAATTTAAATATGTTGGCTGCATCAGGTCATGTTTGGTGACAAGTAAAAACTTTTGTTGACTGTCCTTGGAAAAAAATGTTCAATTTTTAGAACATTTCTGTTTTCATAATTGTAAATAAAACATTGTGTAACTGCAATATTTACTTTTGTTTTTATACTAATGTTTCAGTCAATATTCTTGTTGGGTAATTGGCAAAATGCTCAACAAGTGAAATTGAAAACGTTCTCAATGAACTATAAGAAAAAAAGAAAAATTAGAAAAGATAAAGCCATTTTCCGATTTGCTTTACCCACATGCCAGATTTTCAATAGATAAAAAAAGTAATCTCTTGGTACATCAGTTCAATTCAGATGGCCCTTTTTTCACTTCCACATTACCAGGGAAAGTGTCTTCCATTCTCTCTATCTCTCTATTCTCCAGTTTATATTTCATTTTGGGTTTAACCCTTTTTCTGCTTAGAATTAATATTAACTATCTCAGCCTCACTATCACATCACAAATGCAATCAAAAGTGCTTTCACAAGAATGTATCATATCCAAATTTTTACAACCAAATGCTATCAAAATCGCTTGCAAGAAAAAATTTCCACTCTTCTATATCCAAGTTCTTGTAAGTCTAACAAATGCTAACAAAAGAGCTTTCAGATGGGTCTGCAAAAAAACATCCTATTTTATCAGACATCAACCTTATATTGGCTGATGCCATAAGTTTTAATTACTTAAAAAGAAAGTGCCCATCCTGACCACTGGCTCACAAATGTAAAAAAAAAAACAATGTTTTACTTGTTTGCAGTTGTTCTTATTTTAATACACTCAGATATGATTTTTTTTTTCACATGGACTTTCGTCAAAGCAACCCCAAGAAGTTTATATAAAATCCAATCAAATTATCCCATTGTAATTTGGCAGACTGTGGAGTGAGTAGTCATGGTCAAATGCAAAGTATGTAACAGAACTACCCAACAAACATAACTAACAAATTTTGCAATAAGAAATATCAAGAAAAAAAGAAAAGAACAGAGCAAAAAATAATATGAATCAAGCAAACAATATATGCAAGGCAAATTAACAGTAGCAAGGCAAAGCAACAGCAATATGGCAAAAGTTGACAAACTAAGAATTGGGATTGACACACAAAAGCAAGTTTGGACAAGTAAATGTAGCATTCTGACTTCAAGACAGACTAGGACTGAGTCAGATGTAACTGAGAACCAGTGTATTTTATTGGCTAGGAAAAAATCCCAGCATGCATTTGTGTGCTTCTGCCTATAAATTGAGGATGGGTAAGTGTTTTGCAGTCATTCCCTATTAAATTGAAACCACCAAACAAACTGAATCCTCAATGCAATGTTCTTCTCTTCTCTAACATGTGACATTTTGTTCTTAGTCTCATATTTTCTACTGACATGAAGTGGAGCAATTATATCATATATTGATAGGTCTGCTGCTAAGTAGGTTGGTTCACTGTGTTGTACCAAACAATTTTTCTCATCAGAATCCATCTTGAAGATTTAGAAATCTATCATTCATACATGCATTGAATAATGCTTCTATATCTGATCTGGTACTCCAGGTATATACCTCAACAAAATCCAAAGAAGGGTTTGTAATGTTATCAGTCCTAACCTGGTATCTCAACTGCAGTCACTTTCCCACCACCATGACATGGCTTTCCTCTGTCTTTTTTATAAATATTTTCAAGGCAGTTGTTCTAATAAGCTCTCTCTGGTACATCAACTGACTGAATTTAAGTGTACTACTAGAATATCTATTAGGTCTCATTATTTTACTGTTGAAATAGCTAGATGTAACCCTCCCTAAGTTCTCTTCTGATTTTCTCTTTTGTCTGGAACTCTCTTCTGGTTTCTTGCTTCCCTCCCACCCACAATCTTTAAATTTTAAATGCAAGGTCAATTGTCATCTTCTTTCTTCCTAATTCCTATTCTTTTATTGTCTTTTCTCTTCACTAAAGTCTTCTCTACTCCCATGAACTGAAATGATCCTTTCTGAGACATTTGTGTATCTTATGCCTTTAAGATTATGTCTACCAATAATAAATCCTGCTTATCTACATGCAGGCTTTTTGTTCCTAGTAGACATTATAGATTGCTCTAATATCTTTTATTGCAGTTATAAATTTTATTTATCATTTCAGTAACCTTATCAATCCCAAAATTATATAAAGCTGTCAACATTTCTATTTAAATCCCATCCAGTCTTGTTGCGTTGTTCCTTTTCATTTTGACCAATGCTTGTCTATCATAAGATTTTAATATTACAAGCTCTATGTCATTTTTTTGTGTTTTTCTTCCCCCAACTATCTCTCATAATAGGACTCCAAGGAGGGTGGGGAGTAAGGGTGGTGAAAGAAAAAATATATATAATATGACAACAAAGAAATTGAAAAGACCCTTCTCTGAATCAAGTACTGATAATGAATAGGAATCTCTCGATCACTTCCCACAATATATAGTAATGGAGTCACTTAAAGAAACTCCTATTACAAAACTATCACCATTCATAATAAAAACAATATACTCCCAAATTATTCCTATATCTGTTTAAAAAAAATTAAATAGTACAATAACAATACAAATAGTGAAAAAAATTAATGCGAAAAAATCCTTAAATTGCCAATAACTTAAAAATCAAAACTTATCCACACCAAAGTCTAAACACATCTAGAGGTGTAATTGAAAGTCCAGACCTAGCCACTTACTCCCTAGAAGAAATCAAAATTGACCCCAAAAAAACAAAATGTAATAGATGCAACCAAAATAACAATTAAAACACGAATACATACATATTAAAATTCAACACACCCAAACCACCATCTGAAATAAAAATAGGTTATATCATTACAAAAATGGAAACTTACATTCTAAGATGTTATAACTGCCAAAGATTTGGCCATCATAAATACAGATGTATTAGAATTCCAGTATGCCTAAAATGCAGAAGTACAAATCAAGAAACAGTGTGCCAAGATGACATAAAATGCATAAATTGTAATGAGAACCACCCTACAGAATCACATCTATGTAAAGCTTGAAATTTGAAATCAAATATAAAAGAAATATAACTTTTCCTGAAGCCAGGAAAATTTCTGAAAATAGCACTAAACAAAATATTCTAATAAATTACACAAATACAACTAGAACCCAACTACACAGGGGTGAGAAATATGATATCTGTGAATTAACAGCACTAATCCAAGAGCTAAAGAAATTAATTGAAATAATGAAAACTGATATCAACAGGGAAAAGCAATGATTTACACCACAACTCATATTAAAATCTGATATAGCCTATTAAAATATAGAAAATTCTAACTCGTTAAATATGAAAATTAAAAGACAAAAAGAATCATCTCCTCACATATCTCAATGGAATACTCACTTAAATAATAAATTGCACAAAATCAAAGACACCATAACACCAATCTTTCCCAAAGAAATAGTCTTAACAACAATCAGAATTGGTCATACCAACATCACACATTCATTCCTTCAAAAAGATAAGGATCCACTTAAATTCATAGTATGCCAGGAGACATACACAGTAAAACATTTTATGATGGACTATGCTGAATTTGTGTCTATCTGTAAATGGCTTTATAATATGAATAGCGTTAAAGAACTTTTCAAAAATATTAATGTAAAAACCATTTTGACCTACTTGAGGAAAACTAAATTATACACCAAACTTTAACCCAGACAATCTCACCTATAGATGAACTTTAACCCAGACAATCTCACCTATAGATGAACTTTAACCCAGACAATCTCACCTATAGATGAACTTTAACCCAGACAATCTCACCTATAGATGAACTTTAACCCAGACAATCTCACCTATAGATGAACTTTAACCCAGACAATCTCACCTATAGATGAACTATACAGACAGTTTTCAACTATACTTCAGAAATTATAAAACTTAAAACTTCCTAAAAATATTATTGAATAAAAATTTGATTTTCACCATTAAATGACCCACGAGGTTGATATGCTGGTAAACCAAAAAAAGTAAACTAAGTTATATACAAACAAGTAAAAAAATTGAGTTTATATATAGTGAACAAATTGAATTTATATTTAGTGAACTTTTAATATCAGTTGGTTGCCATTGTCTTTGCACAAAGTATATCCAAATCATTTATAATGATCTTAACTATTTTTCTTCTTTTTACTCAGAATCCTCCTCTTTTGGCAGAAGATAAGGACAAGAATTTGATTAACAGGCATATACGGTACTACTTAAAAGGCAAGAATTCTGATATGTTCAGAATGAATCCCAGGGCTGGAATCCTGAAAATCAAAGACACATCCAAACTAGACAGTGAAAAACAACAGAAATACAAGATTACTGTAAGTTTAAAAAAACAAGTTGTACTTTTTTTGTTTCCTTTTTACCAGATTCAATTTCAGTTTAATTTTTGCATTTATCACTAAAATCTTCTTTCCCTCTTTCTATATATATATATATATATATATATATATAATTTTTGTATATGCCTATTGTTTGTTTTTGAATTTTTTTGACTGCACAGTATACTAGGGTCAGTTGAGTACTGTCTGTGAGAAGAGCACCATGACACAATTCACTTAGCCAGAAATTTGGAAATGGCATACTGTGCTGCTTGACATTCATACTGACATCTCCAATACAAACATTTCAGAGTATATGGGTATCAATCTGAGGACAGTGCAGAGGATTCAGAAAGAGATGGATGAGTCTAATTACTGTCCGATCAGTTTCCTACCCCTCTTCAGCAAAGTCTTTGAAGTTTTAATCAACGCCAAAGTGGTTCACCACCTTACATCTCATGATCCACTCTCCGACAATATGGTTTCCGCTTTGCCCATTCTACAGCTGATGTACTTATGGCCATAACTAAAATTGTTTACCAAGCACTTCATAATAACAGAGAAGCTCATGCTGTGGCCCTAGACATCTCCAAAGTGTTTGATAGGGTTTGGCATGCTGGCCTTCTTTGCAAGCTCCAGGGTTACGGTATTACAGGTTGATTGTTTGACTTAATACAGTCATTTCTGTCAAATCATGAATTGAAGGTCATTCTCAATGGATTCTCCTCCAGCTCCTATCCTATGAACGCAGGTGTTCCCCAAGGCTCCATCCTAGGCCCTACTCTGTTTATTATCTTCATCAATGATCTTCCTGACACCATTGACTCCCAGGTGGGCATCTACGCGGACGACACTACAATTTACTCCTGCCTCAAAAACAAATTTAGTGTCATTGACAAAACTAACCTGGCCGTTCATCTTGAAAAGGACCTCCAATCAGTTGGGAACTGGGGTCATAATTGGCTGGTTAACTTTAACGCCACCAAAACAAAATTGCTCTCTATTAATCAACACAGAGAACCTTCCCTGCCTCCATTAGAATGTCTGACACTCAACTTCCCAAAAGCACCTCTCTGCAGCTGCTCGGTCTCATGTTGTCTACTAACCTGAGATGGAACAAATACATTGAGTCAATAGCTTCATTCGCCGCAAGGAAAGTTGGCTCCCTGTGCCGCGCCAGGAAATTTTTCTCCCCGGAATCGATCCTTCAAATCTACAAATCAACCATTCACCCTTGCATGGAGTATTGCTGCCATATATGGTCTGGAGCCCCTTCTGTTTGCCTTGGGGTTCTTGATAAGATCCAGAGACGAATATGCAATATAATTGGCCCTGATCTGGCATCTCGTCTACAGTCGCTCTCTCACAGACGTGCCGTCACCTCTCTCTGTCTTTTTTTACAAATACTTTCATAGTAATTGCTCCAATGAGCTGTTTTCGCTGGTTCCAAGACTTTGCGAATTCAAGCATCCTACAAGGCTGGCATCTTGCTCTCCCCCTTTCACTGTTGAAACTGTTAAATGTAGTTACCTCTTCTACTCCAATAGCTTCATACCTCACATCTCTCACCTGTGGAACTCCCTTCCCTATTCCTGTTTCCCTGATAGCTATAATCTCAAACTATTCAAATGTAATGTCAATCGACATCTCCAGTTGCCTTGATCTATCCACTATCCTTCTTCTCATTCTTTCCTCTATCATTCCTACCTGCTCTTGCTCCAAATCCTCTATAACCCCTTGCATATTAGTGGCTTCCCGCCTTGCTAGGGGTGAAATGCTTAAAAAAAAAATGTAAGAATTTTATTTTTTGTTAAGTATTTATATACAAGAGCAAAAATGTTATTGTCTTTTCAAAAGTTTTGGTATAGGGGTTCTCATGAATATTCATCAGGTTAACAGAAAAGTCATGGATGTGAGACATCGAACTGTATCACCTCATATCCATGAACTTGCCTGACTAAGATCAATGGTTAAAAATGACTTCAAACCAATAAATTCTCCAAATCTTCATTTGACCCTATAGACCAGCATTTCTCAACCTTTTTACCCTTGCATAACCCTTAAAATAAATTACATGTCTCAAGGAACCCCTGTCCAAAAACAAAATTATATACCATATCTTTCTCATTTTATTTTCATCCTAGTTCACATAGTAAATATTATAGTATATATTTTTGAATAACTGATTTAAGGAAAAATTAATACTTCTTTGTCAAATTTTTTAGTAATGCTAAATTAAATTCATACTGTTCATTTATAATACTTCATCAGGGAATTTTCATTCACCCCCAAAAATTCTCAAACATAAAAAATAAACATAAGTAACCAATATCATATACCTATATTATAAATGTAAACAGAATGTAGTAATATTACATATATGAAATTAAATAAAAAGTCAAAAGTGCATTAGCTTATCTCAACTGTTCTCACGGAACCCTTGAGGACCTTTTGTGGAACCTTAGGGTTCCGGCGAACCCTGGTTGAGCAATGCTGCTATACAGTGATGCTATAAAATCACTAACAAAGACCTATACCAAATAACATAAACCATATCACTTGAACAATTCTATCAGCAATAACAAGAATGAGCAGCACATAATGTTTTGCCTCTTAGTGTAGGTTCATTCATGTGAACAGTAATTTTAAGATTACTTCACTGAAAAGCATTCATTCTTAAATAGCTTCTTTACATCTAAACTCTTATATGGATGTCATGAATGATGTCCAACTCATTCAGAAATGTCTAAACTATCATCTATACAATTGTTTTCTTAGATCAATGATTAAAAATGGCTTCAAGCAAATTAATTCTTTAGGTCATAAAAAAGACAATTCTTCATCAGATCCTCTGGAAATCACAAAGAACTTTACCAAATTACAAAAACCATATCACTTGAAAACTTCCATAGCAGCATCGACTAGCATATGTAACTAAAAAGAAAAATGACATAATCAAGATGTTGATTTTAAATACTATCAAAATCAAAAAGCATGATTTGAAATGAAAATCAGAAAGAAAGGGATTTTTTGTGATCAGGAATTAAGGGAAGCATTACTGGCAAAACAAGAGTATTACATGTATAACGTATATGTGTTGTAGCATGTATAATGTATATGTGTTGTAACATGTATAATGTATATGTATTGAACCATGTTTACTACAGAAATGCATCAATATTAATTTTTTCTGAAAATCTTTTAATAAAAATATTTCATAAATTTCATTTGATACTTACTCTAACTGAACAATGAATGCTCAATGTTTTCTGTATTGAAATGGTTAATCCTACCGTTACACTTTCTTCTTCTTAAATAAGTAATTTCTTTCCTCCTTTCAGATTGTGGCCTTTGATGGAACTTTTCAGACCCAAGCTCATCTTGTCATAGAAGTGGAGGATATCAATGACAACAGACCAGAATTTTCAGGACCTTACTTCTATCAAGTTAATCCTCGGGCCACAATAGGCACAAAATTTGGTCAAGTAGTAGCTAAAGACAAAGATGCCACCAGCAGAAATAATCGTATATTGTATGTTTTATCTCAAGGCTCAGGTGGAAAATTTGGAGTTGATTTCAATTCAGGTATGTGGAAAAACCTTCAAGTATTTTATCCAAATTCTTCCTCTTTCATATGTTTGTTCTTCATAACTATTTCCAATTTGGAAAATTGATTCTCATAAGAATTGTCTTGATTACAAGTGGCAAACGCCAGAGGTTTTCCAATTTAAAATATTTTTTTGCTTTGGTTTATGAAATTTCTTTTTAATTCAATAGGTAAAAGTGGTTATATTCAGATTTCTAAGAGCCATAATATATTGTATGCATATGAATGATATGCAGTTAGTCTAACAGATAATAACATGGAAAATGGAATAGACAAGTTCAAATTCTGCTGTAGTCTGTTGCATTCACTTTCACACAAATGCCCTTGGGAAAGACATGAATCCATCTCTTCCCCTCGTATCCATGGGTTAAATATCAGGGTAGACTAGTATTAGATGGCAACCAGTCTAAGAGAATGAAAACTCTGAATTCCATGCCATGTAAGCAGCAAAAGAAAATCATTCTACTGCCTTTTCTCAAGAATACATGGCAATTCCCATATTATATATCATAAAGAAAAGAAATATGTAGAGAGACATGATCACCTATATCCTGAAGGGACTTGACATTAAGCATTGTTGAAGTCAAATTAACCCTGTAGAAACCCTTGTTGAGGATAGGTGTTGCTGCTCTGGTTACTATAGCAAATGTTTTTAGCTTTAACAAAATGAAGTTTTTCACTCTATACCCAGCAGGTTTTGAATTCAGAGTTGTCCTTCTCCTAGACAGGTTACCAACCAAAGCTAGATGTTCCAGATTGCCCTGATATTACCTCCTACCTGGGAGAGTAGGTTCTTGACAAACAAGAATACCCTACACAAGACTCATTCTGTAGATTTATATGCATTTCTCTGAACAATCTTTTTTATGTACCATGCTCCATCAGGATGTGGGCAATCATGGCTCTTCACAATTTCCTGTCCTTTGTAGCTAAACAAACATTTATCTCCTTACTTTCCCTCTCAGTTCCTGTTCTGCCATCCATTCACATAAACTTATTACATAGTTTACTCAATGTTGCCCCACCTTGCTGTCAATATGTGCCATGAGTGTTACATTCTTCAAGCCCTCTTTCCTCATCACTGAAATTTCTTGACTGCGTACATATTCTGTACATCGTATTCTCAGCATTCATCTATAGAATCACACCTCTCTTTTCTTTGTTTCTTATGAAGTTTTCCCATTTCTTAATACTTTGCTTAGTTTTTGGAAGGCAACTTTTGTTATTCCAATCCACCTTTGGATTTCTTTGTCATATTTTCCTTCATCTGTCATGACACTAGTGTATACACTATAGCAGATCAATACCTACTTTTTGTTTGTTATACACAGTAACCAATTCACAGTGAATTACTGTTGATTTTTACCCTTGAATATGAATGATTACACCTCACACTTCTGTTATTTTATAATGGCAGACATCTTTGCAATCACATCAGATGAACTCAATATTTTACAGATGGGCATTCACAAAAATTTCCTTTTGTGCACCTTATTTTAAAAAAAAAAAGCAGGAGAGCATATCAACAAATCTACACATGATTTAAAGATTTCAAAATAATCTTTGAAAAAGGAAAACACTTTGAGATATTTTTTAGATAAAGCAGAAAATACTTTTAGAAAAAAAAAGAGAGGTGTACTCACCTAATAGTAATCCCCCAAAAATCATAGCACAAAGGGAGCTTAGGTAATTTCAAACTAATGATGTCATTTGTCTATATTTCTGAGATGAGTTATTATGTACATTATTTACATTATTCGGACTATTGTCCTCATCTTTGTCGCCATATTCATTACAATGTTTCAGCCATTGTACACTCCATTCTTCAGGTGGTTGGAATGTTGAACTTAACCCTTTATTTTGCTCACTGGGGTAGACTGTTCTAGTTCCACGTGCCATGTTTAATGGATGTCAGTCATCAGTTATCTCCTGTTAATTTCCCTCTGAAAGTTCTCCACTGCTGTAACCGGGTATTGAACTCACACTCTTTGGGTCCTGTCACTGGATCTAACCAACACCTTTATCCACTGTGCCATGTGTCCTTAAGCAAAATAAAGGGTTAAGTTTGACATTCCAACCACCTGAAGAAGGCCGGAGCGTACAACAGCCGAAACATTGTAATAAATATGGTGACAAAGATGAGGACAATAGTCTGAATAATGTAAATAATGTAATGATGTCATGTGAACTTTTTATGGTTTTTCTTTTATAGAACGGTTCTCTTAACAGGTTTCTGTGTCTTCTTGCAAATTCTTTTCAGGAGAGGGCAGCCAAAAATTGATTTTTCTTTTGGATCTTTATTCTAAATTCTGGATTAAATTTTTGTGTCTGTTTATCTTAGTTGAAATATTTGGTTCTTGTTTGAAGATTTTACCTCCTTTGAAATTTGAAACCTCCTTCTGCTGCCAGTGAGATCCACCCTTTTCTGTGATTAATCACTCCCTTCTGCTTTGAAACCACTTTCTGCATTGAAATCTGATTACATTCTGCCTTTATCTGCTGGCTAGTTTCTTTATATAGGAAATGAAGAGGCTCCAGATAGAAATTATCTTCAGATTTTATGAGGGTATAAGCCCATGCTTTTGATTGGACAGTAAATAAAATAGTACATATTTCTTTTGTATTCAAAAAGTGAATCTGCCAAGAGAAAAAAAACTTTGCCAGTTTTTAACTGCCAATTCTAAAACTAATAATTTTTACAAAAACAATGTAACAATTTTAATAATAATCTGTCTAGCTTTCTTTAAAATACTCTTTTCTAAAAGTATGTGTAATAGACAAACCTAGACAATTATAACATTTATTTGTTTACATTTTTAATTATTAATTTTAATTATTTTAAACTACTAATAAAAATTTTTTATATCTTCATACATCCCTCATATTTTTTGCTGTCTACTCTAATACAATAATTTTCAGTAAAACCAATCTTTGCTTTTAACAACTATTCATGTCTCTTTCAGGTGACTTATATGTAGCCAGTAATCTAACAGACAGTCCACAGGAAGAGGAATATAATTTAGTGATACAAGGTTTTGACACTGGTGAACCAAGTTTAGCAAGCAACACGACAGTTCGTGTCAGAGTGGCCTTGAACAAAGCTCCAATAGTTGATTCAAACTTTGTATTTCAGGTTCCAGAGAATATGACAATTGGATCAACAGTTGGGATTATTCCTGTCTTTGATCCAGATATGGAACATAATCCATTGGAATCCATTCAATTTAGTATTTCTGATCCAACAAGTAGGTTTTAATTTTTTGTTTTCCTTATTCAACTTCAGTCTCTTTCTCTATATCTTAATCCTCTGATTGATCTTCTTTCTTTTCTGATTATGTCATAGAAAACTTTAACATTTTCATGCCAGCTTTTCTCATTCTCAAAGACCATGTTTAGTTTATGGCTCATTCATTTATTTCTTATTCATTAAGAAAAGAAGTACCTTAATTTGACAACTCAATATTAAATTAACTGATTATACTTGGAATTTTACTTTTCTTACTCCACATGATTCTGTAATGAAAATTAATCAGTTGTGGGATTCACTATTTTTTGGAAACAATCCTCCTCTTCTTTACATCCATAACTTTGGGGAATGCGCATTTTTAATACATATTTTTTTGACTATGGAATTAATTATAGGTGTGCAGGTAGTGTAATGGATAACTGCTCAAAATGAGAAACCATAGATCAAAGTTTGAATTCTAGTCGAGTTCATTGCATTCATTTATGTACAGATACCCTTCAGAAAGGTATAAATTCATTTCTTCTCCTCCAAGTTATGATAGGGTAGACTGGTTTCTTTAGCCATGGTTGATAACCAGTCTAGGAAAAGGACAACATTGAATTCAAATCCAGTTGGGTATAGGGCTAGCAACTACATCTCATAAAAACCTACTATTTGATATGGAAACCAGTGCAACAATGCTTACCATGCTCAGAGTTGTGGCCCCATACTCCTAAGAGAGTCCAGATGACTTGAAAGCCATGGCTTCATACTCCTCAGAGATTTTGTAAATTCTCTGAGGAGAGAGCCTTTGCCATATACTCCTCAGAGAGTCTACAGGACTTGAGATCTGTGGCCCCATGTTCCCCAGGGAGTTTATGGGCCATGAGAACTGTGGCCCCATACTCCCCGGTCTGCCCACAGGTCTTGAATTGGTGATGGAATTAATTAGAAAAATGTATGTAAGAATTTTAATTATCATCATGCTTCCAATATTTACATATTTTTGTTATAGAAAAATAATTCAAATAAAATGAAATAACTAATTTTGAAACTGTTGAATTTAGCAATAGGATGTATGTTTTTGTGTGAGAGTAGAGTAATATTATTGTGGACAGATGAGACATTTTCTCAAAGCATTTGACTTGTTAAACAAATGTTAGTACAATTTGTGGCATTCCAAATTCAACCATTTAAATTCACTCATAATCCACAGGAACAAAACTGGTCATAACTTTTGTTGTTATTGTTGTAGTATTAGTAGTAGTAGTATCATCATCATCATCCTATGTTCACTATGTACAAGCAATGGACTCGTCCCAGTTCGCTATTTTATTTTAACTCCTATTTTCCTTTCGTAGCTGAGTTTCATTTAGATGAAAAAATTGTAGTAATTGTAAGAGTAAACAGAGCTGAGGACGACAGTAAAAGTGCTAAGCTTTATTCAATTAAATGAAAGTCAGCTACAAAAGGAAAATAGGAGTTACAAGTTAAACAGCCAACTGGAGCGAGTCCATTGTGTGTACATAGTGAACATAGGATACTACTACTACTACTACCACCACCACAGCCACCCTAATTAAAAAAAGAACATAATTCTCTATGTCAAAAGTACTTTGAGGGACTACTAAGAGCAATATTAACAAGTACAAACACACATCAAAAACATTATATCACCAACCTTTATTCTTACAGAATCTAATGTATGTTTATCTAAAACAAACAGAGTATGTATATAAAAAATATTCCCAAATCAAAAAAAAACACCAAACATAATAACTATTATACATAAACACACACATTTAATAATATACAACATCATCATTATCTTTTGAATCACACATAGACAAACCAGAATTATTATTCACTTACAAAAAACAATATTTTCAGTAAGGCTTGGAATCTGTTAATTTTTTGGACCTTAAAATATGACATATCATTTTCTCCTAGAATTCAGAACACCACAAATTTTACTAACATATTTTAACAATATGAATTCATGGGAAACAGGATTAACCAATGAAAATCAAACAATACAAAAGTAAAAATACCAGAATGCCTTTCTTTTTCTCCACACCTTTATTAAAAGATAAAAATAAGCTTTAATAAAAGTGAAACATGTTAGATTGATAAACATTTCCTATTTGTTCTTTATCTTACCATAAATGTAGTTCTATGAACATTTAATAAAAGCCACTTACATTATTAACTAGAACTTCTTTGTTAATCAAATATTGATTGTAAATAAACATGTTTTGTTTTTCCCAATTGTCAAATATAATATCTGGTTATGTTGTTGCATGTGGTATACTGATCTGCAAACAGATATTGAATGACAGAAGAGACAACAAACAAAGCAAAGACCTGAGTAAAAGATTATTTTCATTAAAGAAAATGCATCAACAAAAATAAGGTTACATTGCATTACATAAAAAATATCCCAGCATGTTCATGTAGAGGGCAAGAACAGGACAGTTTTGTATTTGCTGAAGAGCATTATCCTGAAAAGGATAGTTTATTGCATGTCATTGCTGCTGGTGAGGGTGGTTGGTGCTGGAGGCCTATTGGAGATGGTTAAAGTGGTGGCAAGCTAGAAATGATGATGATGGTTGGATGGCTACCTGGAACAATTGCTTATGGCTGCTGGAACAGATACTACACTTTGATCCTAATCACCTGGGCCACGGAAGATTTATTTATCCCAGTCTCCCCATTAAGACAAAATATGACAAAGTCGGGTTTAATGTAAGGAACATGTATACTTGAGCCAAGGGCAAAAATTGCCCAGCTCCTGCAACTGTCAGTTGCACTGGCATCAGTATGACTACCCCTCTCTAGTGCAAGGGTGGGATGCAGCGATTCCCCAGGACCAGGCATCTCACAGTTTTTATTTTCCCCAGCTGTGATTCTGTCTTCAGACACAACCACAACCAAGCCTGAAGACAGAGATGTAACTGAGAGATGATAATCCCACCCCCCGCCCCCGCCCCCAGCATGGACAACAGAAGATGTCTTTTTCATTGTTTTGAGCCCTTTTTATATCCTGAATCAGTCTTACAATGATACTGGTTAAGCTTTTTCTTCTGGTTGTTTTTGTACTGACAGGACACAACAATGTCAATCTTTTTCAAATTGTCAAATATAATATCTGGTTATGTCAATCTTTTGTCAATATATTTTTCTTCTTTTATGCAGACAATTTTGCAGTTAGTGAAAATGATGGAAAGATTGTCACTAAAATTGTCCTGGATAGAGAAACTCAGGAACAATTTATCTTCACTGTTTACTGTGAAAATGATGGTGCACCATCACACACTGTCAGTACAACAGTTACTGTCATTCTAGAAGATGTCAATGACAATAAACCAATTTTCAAATCAGCCACTGGGTATCATGGAACTTACAAGGAAGGTGACCCTAGGGGCACCATAACACTGGTAACATTTTTTTTATTTTACATATTATCTTAATAGACATTAGAAATTTTTTTACTCATTTTAATATTAGTAGCTTTTTTCATCACAGCTACTCAGAATGTTGGTATACAGTGATCAATAAAAATTGTCAAATATGAGTCAAAAATTAATAATGACTGACAATGTTTCCTTTAATAAAAAAATAAGCATTATGAGACTATTATTAATATTTTAAGCAATGACAAATATGGCCCTGAGTAATAATGAAAAAATCAAGTGTAAGCTTAAATGGTTAGATTTCATCTTTTGCAAATTGTAGAGTTCTTGTAGCTCAATCAACAAAGCAGCTGGTATGGTTAACTAAGTTTCTTGTAGGTAGCAAAAGAATGCAATTTTAAGTCTTACATGTTTAATCTCATATACCCAGTAATGTTTTTCTTTGTCTTCACAGAACCAAGAACTGATTGCAACTGATGCAGATGTTAATGTGGAAAACCAAAACATTGTGTACCGTTTGGTTGGTAATGACTCAGATTTATTCCAACTGAACACAGCAACAGGCTCCATCAAAGTAAGAGCCCCTTCAAGGGTTCGCTGTAACTATAAAGAAAATTATAGCTTAAAGGTAAAATATGAATAAATTATTTTGTTTCCATTTTGTATGAAACAGCTTACTATTATATTTTTAATTACTAGTTTTATTACACATTAGTATTATTGATTTTTGGATTAAGCATTTCCACTTTCATCATCTTATCATTGGTCCCAACCATAATATTCTGGAGCAGTAAACATTTTGATTACAAAAACAAACAATACAAAATCAGAAAATATAGCTTCCAAATAGACTTTGGAGCCCATCTTTTATGGATGTCACTTTAACAACTTCAGCCATGAAAATTTCAATGATTAGACCATGAAACAGTTTGTAGTCATACTGCCAGAGCATACTCTTCAGTTCTTCATGTCATTCTTCTTTTGTTATAAAAAAAAAAACAATAATAAGATGGAATATAGTGGGAATGCACATAATGAGGAAAGAAGACTTGATGAATTTAACACTCACAGGATATATTGAAAGCAAAAGAGGCAGAGGAAATCAGCAATTAATCTACTTAACAAGATTGTTTGAATGAAGTGAGGAACTGGAACAGATAATCAGGTGACAAACATTGCTTAGTGCTACAAAGGATAGGAAGTTGTGGAGAACCATGATTGCCCACATCCTGAACACTCATAGTATATAAAAGAAGAAAGATAGGATGAGAAAAATATCAAAGTATATATATATATATATATATGTGTGTGTGTGTGTATGTGATCAAAGCAAATACCATATATACTTGAGTGTAATGCAAGTTTTTATGATCAGTTTTTACACAAAAAATAGGAGGTGGCACTATACACAGGTAATTTTTTTTGAAGTGTTTAAAAAAAAAAAATCATGCATTTTCGGTGACTGGTTGCACAGGTAGATTTCAAATAAATGTTCACCCCTATAGGTTAAACAATACCCACTGGCCAACAGCAGCAAGCCGCTTCAGCAAAACACCACAATGCACATTTAAACAACTTCAGTTTATAGCATAATAAAGCAAAAAATATGTGTATAGAGTAATTTTTACTTAAAATCACTTGAATTATCATAACCGAAAGTATGTACCTCAACTTGTGACATACCCTACATTATGTATAGGTAATCATGACAAAAAGGTCATTGGAACAAGAATACCTCAGCTATATAAACACTTACAAAACAAAGATAAATGCAAATTCAAGATAGAAAAAACATCTAATAATTCTTCATTTATATATGGTATTTGTTGATTTTAAGTGGCATACATAGTGGATGAGGTTTTGCTCTTCATGTAGCAACAAAAGGAAGAAATTTAGGCTATATAGGAGGCAGGCCCAGGGTAAAAAGCTACCATAGTCAGGCATGAGCAAAAACAAAAATATGGTATCTAAATCTTCGTATGAGATATTTTACAATAAGTAGTTTTTTTCTCACTACTTTGGGGTAGCTTAATACAAAAAAGAATGAAGACCATTTATTTGCTGTAAAATATATCCAGGATGATGCCTAGTAGTGCAATATTTGACTACAATAGGTCTACTAGTATTGCTCAGAAGGTGGGTTGCATTATACATGAACTATATGAAAAAAAATCAGGTTTTTCACAAAAATATTCAGGGGTCACATTTAGTATCTTGACTCACACTTCGCACTTGTGGGACTCTCTTCCAGCTTTTTACTTTCCTGTCAATTACGGGTTTACGGCCATATCACATTGAAACACTGGTTCACAGACGGTCACCAAAGTAATACTAGGTGCTGTAAGCCTAGATATATGACTGGTGTAATGGGTAATGGCTTGAAATTGAAGATTGAAGAGCTAAGTTCCAATTCCAGTTGGGTTTGTTATATTACTTACCCTTGGGAAGGTATGAATCCACCACTTCTCCCCCAGCTATGGGTTAATTAGTAGGATTTTTCTCAGTAAATCATTATTATATCCCCAAAATTCTTACAATCTAAAATATTTTCTAGCTTTTAAATAACATGCAAAAAGTTAAGCTATAAAAAATTGAATCAGCCAGTCCTGTCAACTATGATCTTCAAAAATTTAAATACAACATCAATCAGTCTTTTCTGTCTACCTAAATCCTGTTTTCTCCACAATAATGTTATTTCAATTTCTTTTACTCTTAGTAACCCCTTGCATCTTAGTGGCTTTATTGTCTTACTTGTGGCAAAATGATTTAAAATAATCATAAACTTAACATTGTCATTATTTATGACAAGTTAAGTAAACTCGTGCTGTTAAATCAAATATAAATAGCATGCAGAAGGGTGAATCAGAGGTTGTGATCATCCCAGACATCAATATTGGGAGAGCAAAAAATTTAATTTATATTTAATTAGAATAAAGCATTTATTTCATGTGTCATTTGTTTTTACATATTTAAAATGTCTTCCTTCCTCACATTTCTCAATACTAGGCTCTATAGGTCCCTCTACTTGAGTCTTAGAGGCATAAAGTCAGGTAGTTGGTCCTGGGCATCACCAAACCTTTGCACGTCACTGGTCTTATATGCTATGAAATATGGTATCACTTAAATTGTAATCAGGGAGTCATGTCAACAATTACTTAAAAAATTCCATCCTTTTGAGGTTTTTTTTTTTTCTTTTTATCTAACTATTGGTTTTCTACTTTGATCATTGACAGATTATTGCTACTGACCAAGGAGGAAAGGGTCACCAATCAGTGAGCACAATCAACATTGAAGTACAAGATATTAATGATAATGCTCCCAGATTTACAAAAAAGTATCACTTCCGTGTTCCCATAACTGCCAAAGAAGGAACAGTCATTGGATCTGTAATGGCTATTGACAATGACTGTACTCAGCAGAATAATAGAATTACTTATCTCCTCAAAGATGGTGGATTTGGAAAATTTAAGATTGATCCTGACAAAGGTAGTGACCTTTTTTCTCTGTTTGAATCTTTTAGTCTAAAAGTAAACAAACATTTAAAAAAAAATGCATTTTGACCTGCAGAGAATCTTTTTATAAAAAGATTTTTTTTAAGAGATTAGCAATGTGCTGGTAGTGTAATGGTTATTGGTGTGGAAAGTGGAACTAGTGAGCCAAGTTCAAATCCTGGCCTAGTTTGTTATATTCACTTTCATACCAACACCCTTGGGAAAAGTCTGACTCTATCTCTTCTTCCCAAATAGTAGATTAAGTATCAGGGTAGACTTGGATTTCTAGTCTTGGGCGGCAACCATTCTAAAAGAAAGAAAACTCTGAATTCCAAACTGAGGAGAAGGCAACGGAAAACCACTCCACTATTTTTTTCCAAGAAAGTATTGCAATTCACAGATAATAAAGAAAAGTAATCTGGTGAAAGCTATGATTGCCTACATTCTGAAGGGACATTAACAAAAATAGATATGACAACTGTACTCATAATGTAAAGGTTATCAAGATGATCTTGAACATCATCATCATTATTATTATTATTTAGTAGTGCATTTGATTATCATTGAGTACCCCATACTTGTAAACTTTGTCAAAGCTAAACTGCACTTAATAAATAACTATAAGAATGCTTTTAATACTTGGATCCTTGTTTCAAAACCGGGGAACAGAATTTTTACATTGCATTATTTTAAAAAAATCAAATTACTAAAAATGCTTAAATGAACACAGTAATAAAGTGAAGCAGGTTCAAATCTTACCAGTGACTTTTGAATTCTTTCTTTTTTTACATATTTGCATGTATGGAGAAATGTTGAGATAATCAGACTGAAATTTACAATTTTTGTAACAATTAATATTAAAATCTTAAATTCTTTTTTAACCATTTCAAAACTTTAAAATCATTCAAAAATGATTTTTTTTCAGAAAGATAAAAAAAATTAATGTTCATATGATAATCTGATAACATGATAAAATTTACATTTTGAAACCAGTTTTTTTCAAAATTTTCTGAACATTTGATAAGTTATTTGCTATTATGCACTGATTTATTCACACTGTTATCCTCATCTTGCTTTTTAGTCACAATTTTTTGGCTGTTGTACCCTTCAGCCTTCTTCAGGTGCTTATTAAGTCTAGTAGTAAATTACTTTTGAATTTTGAACTGATTCAAAGTTCTAAAATTTTACACCTAAAAAGAATAGAGAGAACAACAATTAAAATGCTGTGACTATAACAACCAAGATGAGGATAAAAGTCTTAATAAATCAGTATATAATAATGATAATTCATCATATCAGAAATTCAAACAATTTATTTTTCTTTCGTTCCTATTTTATAACAGGAGAAATTATAATAGCTGACAGTCTTGTTCGAGAACCAATGAGAAATGAATATAGCATTGTTGTGAAAGCAGTGGATAATGGTGCCCCTGGGCTTTCAAACAGTACCAATGTGACTATTTTAGTACCAGTGAATCATCCACCTTCAGTTCAGAATAGCTTTCATTTTTATATTATGGAAAACAGTGCACTTCGTCAGTTTGTTGGCAAAATAACTGCAGAAGACAGAGATTTGGGCAGAGTGAAAGGAGAAAAGTTAACTTTTACTTTAGTCGATAAAGCTGGTAAGATTTTTTGTTGCTTAATATAAATTTTCTTGTTTACTTGCATGATCAAAAAGAAATCTATAATATTTATGTTTTGGATATTTTTAAGTACAATACAATTACAAAATGAAGATGCAAAGTAAAAATGATTTAAGACATTAAAAAATGGCATTTTATTTATCAAGCTTGCAATAACAGAAAATTCTATTTCTATAACATCAGCAAAATCTACTAAAGAGAGATGGTCGAACTGTCCAGCTCTTTGTAGTGGACTCTTCCAGTGATGTAAAAAAAGTGTTACACACAAAGCATATGTACAGTGATGGAAAATAAAACTGCAACACCTTGAAAGACTTTGCTAAATTTACCTTGAATACAATATGTACACATGCTGCTGGTAAGTTTGTTGTTATCTTATAACACTAACACAAGTGCACCAACTGTGTCTAAACTGTACATTGTAACACATGCTGCAATAATGTTCAATGTGATGAAAGAGTTCAATGCAAAAAGACCACAGAGATGCACATATGCACATTTTGTTCAATTAAAGACATTTGTGATGGAGCAGATTGTGAACTTTTGAGAGGCAGGATGGTCATCCCGGGAGAATTGCTGCACACATTGGACATGACACTGGTGATGTTTTTACACTGACAACAGTCATCATATGAACATTCCAGTTGCCAGAGACCAGATTCTGGACAGCATGTCATACAGATGCTAGACAAGATCAACATGTTCTTTAGGCAGACATGGTAAACTAATGTCTGTAACAGATATCAGAGAAAATCTTAGAAATGTCAACACAGATGGTTGTGAATCATTTATTGAGTGTCAACACAGACCATTGTGAATTGTTTATTTGCAAGACAATGTGTACTTGTCTCTTTAACCAGACTTCACTTATACCAAAGCACAATCATTCACATACCAAAATCAAACAAAACAATTTAAATATCTGGGAAATGTTTTAACTGGGGATGGAAAGTGCAACACTGAAAACCAACAGTACACTGGGATGACGAAAGATGCCTTCCAAAACTAAAGCAAATTATTAAGAAACAGGAAAATTTCATTAGAAACAAAGAAAAGAGTAATGAACTTTTACGTAATATTAGTCCTCCTGTATAGCAGTGAATACTGAAAAATATCACAATTAAGAGATTTGAAGCAACAGAAATATGGTTCTACAGAAGGATGCTGAGAATACCATGGACCAACATGTGAGCAACAACAAAGTTTTAGGGAAAATGGAAACAAAAACGACATTTATACTTCAGAAAGAAAGATTTGAAATTTCTAGGGCACATAATGAAAAAAGAGGTCTTGGAAAATTTGATACTCACAGGACAGATTGAAGGCAAGAGGGGTAGAGGAAAATAATGCGTAACCCACCTAGTGAGCTTGTGTAAATGGATAGCAGAACAGGGTTTAGTAGAGATAACAAAAAGACAAAATTTATTAAGAGCTACAAAGGACAGGAAATTGTGAAGAGCCTTTCCTGAAGGGACATGGCACATAGAAAAAGAAGAATGAAAGTAGATTCTGATTTCATGCAAATAATAGTAGTTTGTGAGTGTGGAGGATAGTTTCCATAATATATTTCCCACAACACACAGGTCCAATCTCTGGCATCATAGTGTCTGGTGACAAAAATTACAACTCTTGTTTGTCTTTAATGTTTTCAGAGGGAACAGTGCCATATATGTCCAGAACATTGCTCAACCCTTTTGCTGCAATTCCTGCAACAAGAAGGCAATATGCTATTCAAGAAAAGTAATGCCCGTTTTCCTGCCCATTGCTTGTGCTATTAAACATGCTCTGAAACACATTTGACAAATTGCCATTCCTGCCCATATCAAACATGGAAATAAGGCTGACTTGTTCAGTTAGTTCACCTACAATTTTGCTCAAGTGCAAGAGGTGCATAATAATGTATAACAGAATGGCATTCACCATCTGTACATCAGCATGCATATGTAAGTAAAGGCTTATGTTAACACCAAAGTTGACTGTATATTGTATTAATCTGGAGTTTGGGTACTGTTGATACAACGTTTATTTCAAAACATATGCACATATTGATGTATATATGGAATCAGTTTCTGTAATCCAGCTGTATTTGTTGTACATTTAATCTTGAGTAATCACAAATGCATTCAAGGTGATACACTTTTACTGCCAGTTTGTGTGTATGTATGTATGTATGGACATACTTGCACACACACATATACACACACACACACACACATATATATATATATATATATATATATATATATAGCGACAAAGATTGTGTTTCACAAAAACAAGAGCTCAACCAAAGTATTTCTGGAAGATAATGTTTTAAGACAAGTGTAATTATAGTGTTTAATATCTAGATATGGAGCACTGATACAAATAAATAAAATGTTCACTTATCCCTACTCGTAGTTTTGCAGTGATGACATCCACTCAATAGGGGACTTGGTTGTAAAACCTTTAAAAACAATCAAGACAAGCTGATGTAATGTCTGTGAAACTCAGAGTAAGGATAAGGGATCATTTCATATTTATATATAACATTACATACATAGGAATTTAAAATTACCTCATTGTAATGATCATTTCACCTTTCAAGTTGAAATTCCCTTGTAAGGATTTTCAAACCAATCAAGGTAATAAAATGAAATATTTTATTTTATTACCTTGATTGGTTTGAAAATCCTTACAAGGGAATTTCAACTTGAAAGGTGAAATGATCATTACAATGTGGTAATTTTAAATTCCTATGTATGTAATGTTATATATGCTCTGTTATAATAAATACATTTTCTCTTTATGGATCAGTTTTAATATCTTTTATTTTTAGGATTCACTTGGAGTATATACCAATGGATGTTTACATATATATATATATATATATATATATAACCACTTTGTTAGTAGCAGCAGTTATGACCTGGAAATTAATTAAACATTTCTATAATTTCTATAATAATGTATAAATATTATAATCATTTTCAGAAAAGAGTGAAAATAATGCTTAAATTATACTTTATTTTATTTATAAAAATCCTTCTGCATTAAATTATTGCTCACATTGTCAAAAGATTGAATGGCAAACATCAACTAATTTCTTTTTGTATTTTGGTTCATTTAAATTAATTTTCTTTGGTTTGTTTGTTTTGCCTTTTGTTTTGTGGTGTTTTTTGTGTGTGTGTGTGTGTGTTTATCATTATCCATTGTTTCAACCTCTATATGCTACATCTTTCCTTGGGTGTATTAAGATGTCAAACTTTTGCTTTCCTTCCTACCTAAATCACATCTAGTGTGTGTATCCTTGGGCACCTGGAACCTATCTTTTTTGGCCTACAAATTAAACCTATGACCCCATGAATTTCATCATCTCTTGAAAGGTCATTTTTCATATGAAAACACTTCCATGCACTCAAAAAGACAAGTATCTTATGTAACATATATGTGAAGAATGTGCATGCCTTGTCACAGAAAAGTTTAGACATTCTAAACACAAGACACCTGGAAAAGATTTTTGTTTGGTTTTGTTTTGTTATTTATTTTTTAATTTCCTTTTTTAAGATAAGGAAATTATTCTGAAGGTAGTAGAACACATTGGTTAAAAGACTTGCCAAAAATAAAATTCAGCCAGGAATTCTGCTAAGTCTTGCAATTGTAACAGTTCTTTGATTTCGGTCCATAATTTAACACATTTAACAATTAGATTTTAGAGTATAAATCCTTGTCTTTAAATTTTTCCTTAAACTAAAATCTGGTAAATGTTATTGGCATTTAACATTGCTTCTTTATCTAATCTAACTGCCTGAAAATATTGCATTAAGACTTGTCATCGCAATGAAAATGGAGAGATGTGCTATTTTGTTGAAAATAACGATTCACCATTAATTAATCAAATAATTCATTAGTAAAATTGTCCTTTGAATTATGTGAGTTAATATTGGAAAGTTCCTGGGCAAGGATCTTCAAAAACTCCAAAACTGATTCCTGTCAAGTAAGAAAAGCTGATGGACCATTCAGTAACAATTCTCATGTGTGTGTTCATTTTTTTACATTTTACGGCATTTTATTGGTGGTTGGTCACCATGAATGCTCATTTTTTTGAACAGATACTTGAGTAGCCTTGAAATCTCCATGTCACTCAAAATTTAATAAAAGCCTGATTAAGCATTTCAAGGATATTGATAACTGATTTGCAAAGCTTTGCACAAAGTAGGTACAGCAATTGAATTTGTTAGCCATCATAAAGAGTGTAGCTATTCCTATAGAATCTTTAAAAAATCTTTTGTAAAAATTGAACATGAAGAGTTAGAATGAAGCTTGTTGACAGACTGACTCAATAAGTTTGGTACCAGTTAGTTTTAACTGGGCATGAATTTCTGTTTGGTGGTAAAATTCCAGTATTGGAACTTACTGAAATCACCACATTTATGTCATTTTTTTCTTTATATTTTATAAGCACACTGTATAGCAATACTAAAAATTTTTTGCGCTACATCCGAAACAAAAAAATCTGAAAGGGGTTCATGGGGCAAAAAGAACACTTGAGACTGCCATTGATCTAATCCATTCACTTTGTATTGATTACACAACTTTAATTCATTATCTTTTTTCTTGTTTGTTTTGCTCTTTGATTGAAATAGTTGTATATTCTTCACTGTTGTCAGTGTTCAAAACCAGTCAAAAGCTAAGACTTTGAATATGAATTTTCAAGGTAAGTAAAATTTCCTTGCTTGGAAGATTGGAACTACACAATCTTCCAATCCCATTTTCTTTCGTTTAGCCCTGTACCAAATTAAATATTGTAAATAGCTATATTTTATTGCTTTTCTCTTTCTCTCTCTCTTCAGTTCCATTTTCTGTCCATCCACTGAAAGGTGAAATAAGAACGAATGATATAATCGATCGGGAAGAAACAGAACTCTACAGATTTAAGGTCATGGTGAATGATAATGGTGTTCCTGCCTTCACAGCTACGACAAACATCATTATCACAATCAAAGATTTTAACGATAATGCTCCTCAGTTCATTCATGGGCTGGAGTACCGAGGAACAGTGGTCGAAGATGACCGTAAACCTATTTTGAAACAGAAAGTAGAATTGGTAAGCAGAGAAGAGGGGGAGAACAGCAATAATGAGCAATATATATATATATATATATATAAGTAATAGGTTTGTCACTTAGTTGATTGATGTTACCTTCAGCATCCTGACTCCAGAGTTATATAGACGGACCCTCTGGGGTTTGCAACGTCCACTCCTCAGGGGTTATCAGCAATTGACTTCTTATACTTTTCAATTTTTTTTCTCTAGTAATCAATTTTTATATGCACTTCTCATTGGTATAAGTTTTTTCTTCTTTTTTTTTCTTGCATAATGTGTGTGTGTGTGTATTAGTAACAGCACAAAAGTAAGCAACTTCTAAAGGAGCATGCTGAAAAGGTGCATCAAAAAAAGAGCTCAATGCTAAAATGGCAGAGCATCAATATTATTTTCTAGCATACACTGACTACTACTACTAGTTTCATGTGCTTGTATGCAATTTTCAGGAAACTGTTTTTGTAAAATGTACATTTTTTACTCCTTTGGCTAGCTGAAGATGATACAATGAGGGTAACTGATGGGGGTACATCACACACCAAGAAAACTCACTGAAGGAAGAAAAAAGATTTCTTACCAGCACATGAAACTAGTAGTAGTGGTTGGTCTAATAATAATAATAAGATATATGTCATCACATATAGTTATAAATATCTTATGTGCATTCACTTGTAGGAAATTCAGTAATCCAGGTTTTTATATTAAAAATCTGAATGGCCAAATTCCAATAATAAAGAGAATATGAGTATGGCTGTTAAATAAATCTTTTGTATTTATAAACATATATATATGAATTCAAGAGTTAAAATGTATTAAAAATAGTCTTCCATTTAATTATTCTTTGGGTAGTTGGTTCACAGTAAATAATTATAAACGTCTTTATATTTATATACAGAGTAACCTCGGTTCTCAAACATCTCACATGTCAAACAAATCAGTTTTCGAACAACAAATTTGAGATGAAAATGCTTCAGTTATTAAATAAAATTTTGGTTCTCAAATGACATTGCCAAACTGAGTTAACCTAAATGGAATAATTTCTGAGTAAACCACCGTGCTGTATACATTCATGTGTTGTGCTGTGCTTTTCTTTTCCAATTTTATTGTACTGTGACTTTTTTTCTCTATACTGATTCCTATTGGAAAAATAATTTCGGTTTACAGACAGCCTTCAGTAACAAATTAAATTTGTGGACCAAGGTTCCACTGTATACAAAAAAATACTTGTAAAAATGAGAAATGGTAAGACATGGAAACAACAAAAGAAGTATTATTTATTATCTGGTTTTATTGTAGTGTTGACAATTAATACTGAATAAAATTCAGAGTTTGAGGTTAAATGTAGATCAAATATGGATCAGAATTTGAGAGAAGGATAAGATAAAGAATAAGTAAAAAGTGTACAGTCTTTCTCTTTTTTTTTTTTTTTATAGATATGTGTAATGAGTATCCAGATAATTTAGTTGGAAAAATACAAAAAGTGTCTGGAGGTTTTCTTCCCTCAAATTTTTGCTGAGTGTTAAAAGATAAATGTTACTATTATGACCTGGAAAAGGAGATGAAAGTTTCGTTGATGCATGTTTTAATGACCTGTTTGTGTGAACTGCTTGTCTGATAGTAAGAATGTCGTGTTTGTGTGTAGAGGAGAAAAGTGGAGATGAATCTCATTGGTTTAGAATGAGTCAATTAATGATAATTATTATAATTATTTTTGGCACTATAATTAATTTTTTTTTTTTATGGACACAACCCTGTGACAGTATAATTATTTTTTTTTATTTATGTATTTCTTTATGGACAACAGAAAAACAACTATAGTTTAAAAAAGATTTTTAAATATTTGGTCCAAAGTAAAAAAAAAAAAGCTGTAATTGATAAAAGGTTTTATCATTAGCAAAAATTCACTGTTTTTGTTGCTGCTGCTGCTGTTGTCAGAGATGATTTGTTTGAAATTACCAACATGTTTCTTTTAGAACATGTTGTGGAAAGAGAAAAGGCTATCAAATCATGGCAGTTTGGGAATAGTCGCACCTCTGATCTCTGAACATCAAAATCTCAAATTTTTATAAGAGATTTTCCCAAAAGAAGACTTGAAAAAAAAATATAGTATTTTTAGTTTTCTCTGATTAGTTAAATATTTCACATGATGTCAGGTTTTAACCAATAGACACCAATTGAAATGGTGTGTATTGAATTCTGGAATCTTTTTGGTATGTATGTAATATTGTCTGTTATTGGGTTAGAAAATAAAGTTTAGGTGTGTTTTAATATCTATGTAATGATGTAATTGTGTTGGAAATAGAGTTTATTTCCTATACACTTGTATGATTAAATATGTTAGAAAAGATTAACTGTAAAAAATTAGTAATAACTTTATAGATTTTCTGGTTTATGAAATGTTTCCTTAGAGTTTTTAGATAGTAGGGTAAATGGATATGTATATCTACTAAGGAAGCATCTATAACATTAAAAATGTTTTCCACAAAATGATATGGAATGAAATCAAATACATGACAGGTTGAAATTTTAGAAAATATTTATTCCATAAAATAAGAATAAAATAAATAAATTTGCCTGTGGAAAAAGATGGCGAGTCAAAATCTCTACATTTTTAAAATGAAGAAAAGCCCTGCTTACTAAATGACTGAAGAGAAGTGCCTCTTCATTAGGGTCTATAACCCTATACAATGATGAAAGAAAAAAGAATCTCTTTTTGAAAACATGGCACCAATCAGCTACTGCTGCTATGTATATCCCTGTTAGGCAATTGTCTGTGTCTCTTGCAGCTTATTTTCTTTTTATGTGCCATGTCCCTTCAGGACATAGGCAATCATGGCTCTCCACTTCCCTCTATCCCTTGTAGCTTTGCTACTTCCCCCAGGCCATGTTCTGTCATCTACTTGCTTAAGCCTGCTAGGTATGTCATGCATTGCTTTCCCTTGTCTCTATTTCCCTCTATTCAATCTGTGAGTATCAGATTCTCCAAGGCCGCCTTTCTCATTAGGTGTCCCAGAAATTTCAGCTGCCTCTTCCTGATGTTAAGTATAAGCTTCCTCCTTGTTTGCATCCTCTCCAAGACCTCATAGTTGCTCATATGCTCAGTCCATGATATCCTTAGCATCCTTTTGTAGAACCATACCTCCATTGCCTCAAGTCTCTTCTTCATCTTTGAGAAGACCATCCAACATTCACTGTTGTAAAGGAGGACAGATAACACGCAGTAATTCAGTATTCTTTTCTTTGTTACCAACGAAATCCTCCTGTCTCGTAATACTTTGCCTAGCTTTTGAAATGCGTCTTTGGCCATCCCAGTATGTCTTCAGATCTCAGACAGTCACATAAACTCACTACAGCTATTGCTATCAGATGTGCTTTAATGGTAAAGTAGAAAACTGGTGATTTTCTGAGGTTACTCAAATAGTGGGTGATGTTCATATATTCATTTGGAAGAAAGTCACAAGACCTTCACTATTGACACCTTGACAGAATCCTGATAAATAAATTGAGCAGTTTAAATTGAAGGATTTTTTTTAATGTTTGTAACAATAACTATGAATATTTTCTCACATTGCATCCTTAAAGTTGAATTGCTTGATATCAAATTTGTTGTAGTAACAAAAGATTAGATTCATTTTCATGACAAATTCATTAAACAGTTTCTGAATTTTAAAACAAACAATTTCTCCAAGAAAAAAAAAATCAATGATGGTCTGTATATCAAAGAATATGGCAAACTATTTTAGTGGAATGGTAACCAAGTTTTTACTGAGCTGATGGTTTTAAGTGGAAGAAGGTCATTAGCATTTGCTTGCTTGATATATGTCCACTAAGTTTGAAAAATAGGCCTTAATGAATTGAAATTTTCAGATATCTGCATCTGACAAGTGAAAAATAAATTATATTGACATATCACAAATAACAAATTTATTTATCTACATAGATTATTTGCTTTTTAGGATTTAAATAGTTCAATAAAGAGAACTTTAGTGTTTGTTTGCTAATTTTCCTATTTTTTGTATGTAAGGAAGAAAATATATTTTTGTATGAATTTGACTTGTAGGATTAAAGTCCCCAAAATCCGGTACTTTCAAAGTAGGTTAAGTTTTGAGTTGAATTGAAAGTAATAATGAAAATGATTTGAGAAGTAATGGAAAAGTTCTGTTTTACCTTACTGTTATCAGCTATTAAGTTGATTTCCTTTGATGTTGTGTAATATTACATTTCTCTTTGCCATTGTGGTAAGAGAACAAAAAAACTGCATTACTACTGATTTCTATAATTTTCTTACTCACCCCTACATCTGGTTATGCCTCCATGAAGGTAGGTCAGATATGTGTTTCTTGAATTTCTTTTTAAAGCTTTTCATTGGCTGGAAAGCAATTATTTTATTATGGTTGAGCCAATTTTGAATGAAGCATTTTGAGCCAGAAATGATTCACTAATGGGCTTTTGTTGGTTTTAATTTCAAGTGTGTTACAACCTAGTGAAAAAAAAGAGAAAACATAATAGACATGCGCTGATGTCTGCAGCAATAGCTGAATAAACTGAGAAATTTCAGAACTATTCATAACTTGAAAAAGACCATGTGCTGTATTTATAGTAGTGCTGTGACAACTTAATCCAACAGTTCATAAATATATGCAAGATTTGCCTCCCTTGCCAGATCAAAATGCCCATAGCTATATAACATTGTTTTTAATAACTTTTTTCCAGAGTAATCTTTAGCCAAAGTGTTTTGTGTACTTTATGAAAATGTTTTATATTTATAATATTGTCCATTAGAAAATGTATGTATTTGTAATTTTACTGCTTATATTTTATGAGACAAAGACATATGATATCAATTAGTGTATATATGATAATCAATGAAGAAACATTCTTTTTAAATACAAAGTTCTGTAAGAGCCAAATATCTTTATGAAAATCAAGCAGAAGTTAGTGAAAAACCCTTAAGAACAGAATCATTTATCATGCCACTTCTGTCTTTCATACTAAATATAATG